ATTGCTGGATTCCTTGTAAGACCAGGAATATTTTGAATATAAATGTCATATATTTTGCACAAAAGAGAACATATTTACTCAGAGTAAACATTTTATCTAAAATTTGTATGTCTAATGCAAAATATATGATGTTTATATTCAAAATGATCACCAAATTGTAAGAATTCCAGCAATGTAGATTATATTCTGGTCGGGTAATTTGTATGAATTTTATGAGCTAAAACAAATATCTTCAGTTAATAATAAAAAAAATATTCTTCACGACACTATCTGTCAATCAAAGTACCCCACCTTGCCTCCCCCCCTCTTCCAACCGCGGTCAGTCCCAACCCACCCCCCACCAATCCTCCCTTCAAGAGATGTTGGGTGAAAAAACTAAATTTTAACATTTTGTATTAAATAATACCTCAGATTAAAGTTAGGATAATATAATTGACATTGCTGGATTCCTTGTAAGACCAGGAATATTTTGAATATAAATGTCATATATTTTGCACAAAAGAGAACATATTTACTCAGAGTAAACATTTTATCTAAAATTTGTATGTCTAATGCAAAATCTATGATGTTTATATTCAAAATGATCATCAAATTATAAGAATTCCAGCAATGTAAATTATATGCTGGCCGGGTAATTTGTATGAATTTTATGAGCTAAAACAGGCAGTCAGGCAGGGTGGCGGTGGCGGGTGGGGCAAATCTAAAAATAGGTCTCGAGCCGGACACTCACCGTGAATATGTGGAAAAAACCCGCGTTAAGTGAAAGTTCAGCTCTGGCGAGGCACCGCGTATACGGTAAAACGCGCTAAGTGAAACCGCGTTAGGCGGGGTAATACTGTATTAGTGATATTCTATTCATACTGTGCTTGATATAATACATTCACGGAAATGTAATATTTTTGCAACTACAATGCTGATGTCAACACGATTGTGGTTACAGCGAGACTGACTGAGTGAGGGAGAGCTATGCGTGTGTGTGTGTGTGTGTGTAAGGTTGCGGGAGCGGTGGTGTCCCGTGTTCGGTGCCGCGCGCGATTGGAATGTACTTCAATTACTTCAATGTACAGAATATTCTTCTGGCAGGGCAATCCGCGTATTTGCGAATCCGTGAATGCTAAACCCGCGTATGTGAAGGGCCGACTGTATTACCCCGCTTTACGCGGTTTCACTTAACGAGATTTCTCATATACGCGGTGCCTCGCCAGAACCGAACTTTCACTTAAAGCGGTTCATCTACTCACATACGCGGTGAAGTATAATATATATATATATATTTTTTATTTAGCTCATAAAATTCATACAAATTACCCGGCCAGAATATAATTTACATTGCTGCAATTCTTACAATATGATGATCATTTTGAATATAAACATCATAGATTTTGCATTAGACATACAAATTTTAGATATAATGTTTACTCTGAGTAAATATGTTATCTTTTGTGCAAAATATATGAGATTTATATTCAAAATATTCCTGGTCTTACAAGGAATCCAGCAATGTCAATTATATTATCCTAACTTTAGTTTGAGGTAATATTTATTACTAAAAAGGTAAATATTCTGGTTTTCCCACACATCTGGTAGGGAGGGTTGGTGGGGGGTGGGAGGGGGGGACCGACTGACCATCTGGCACGGTGCGAAGAATATTTTTTTTTTTATTAACTTTAGATATTTGTTTTAGCTCATAAAATTCATACAAATTACCCGGCCAGAATATAATTTACATTGCTGGAATTCTTACAATTTGATGATCATTTTGAATATAAACATCATAGATTTTGCATTAGACAAACAAATTTTAGATATAATGTTTATTCTGAGTAAATATGTTATCTTTTGTGCAAAATATATGACATTTATATTCAAAATATTCCTGGTCTTACAAGGAATCCAGCAATGTCAATTATATTATCCTAACTTTAATCTGAGGTATTATTTAATACTAAATGTTAAAATCTAGTTTTTCACCCAACATTTCTCTTGTAGGGAGGGTTGATGGGGGGTGGGGGGGGAGGGTTGGGACAGACCGACCATCTGGCGCGGTTGGAAGAGGGGGGGGGAGGCAAGGTGGGGTACTTTGATTGACAGATAGTGTCGTGAAGAATATTTTTTTTTTAATAACTGAAGATATTTGTTTTAGCTCATAAAATTCATACAAATTACCCGGCCAGAATATAATTTACATTGCTGGAATTCTTACAATTTGATGATCATTTTGAATATAAACATCATAGATTTTGCATTAGACATACAAATTTTAGATATAATGTTTACTCTGAGTAAATATGTTATATTTTGTGTAAAATATATGACATTTATATTTAAAATATTCCTGGTCTTACAAGGAATCTAGCAATGTCAATTATATTATCCTAACTTTAGTTTGAGGTATTATTTATTAAAATCTAGTGGTTTTCCCCCCAAAAAATTTCTCAGAGAGAAGAGCCAGCAGTGTAGTGTGAGAAGAGGGGAAGGGAGTCGAGTCCATTATTTGAATGGACATTAACTTGGCGACTGTATTTCTCTATTTCTCTTAAGTATTAATTGTGTGCATGTACCATCATAAAATTAAGATGTTATTTTTACTAGAACATAGGTATTGTGTCGGAAAAAGTAGAGTTTGGGGGTCGGGCCAGTCTCTATTGGAATTAATCCCATATGTTCTGTTGTTCCATTTACGCGGATTTCATTTAACGCGGTACCCTGTGGGTTCAATTGGCCGCGTAAATCGGGGTACTACTGTATTGTCAATATGTAAAATAAATTTCAAAATGACCAATAATTTGCTTGGAAACAGAAAAAAAGCATTTAGTTGAAGAGAGTCTCAAGCAAGATGTTACCTCCACTGAAAAGACAGAGAGACTAACGCTTGTTTGGTGTGTTGACACAGGCTGGATGGCGCGCATAAAACTAGTTTCATAACCTTCAATTATGTTCAATAATTGTTAAAATTACTAAAAAATTTAATATTAAACTTTTAAAATTATTGAATAGTAAAAACTTCTTGGTACAGGTTGTACCTCTCTAGTCCGGCATTCTGTAGTCCGGAAACTCCCATGGTCCGGAACGATTCTAGTTTGTCCAATAGGTAGATAAGCAGCTTTTTTTTTTTCTTTTTTTTTTTATCTGAATTATTATTATTATTACAGGAGTATTAAATTTTTGCCCCTCAGGCCCCAATGTGGGTCAGTGACCTATGCCTGGGTGGGCTAATCCCCTTAAAAAAAAAAGCCGCGGGAAATTAAGGTTTGTTTACATCCGGCAGTTCGGCTGCTCTCTCTCTCTCTGCTTGTCTATACAGAGTACAACATTTAACCCTTCAATATATATGAGCAGTAAATAAGTGTTGCTTTCATATTCTTACGTAGAGTAATGACGATATATTTTCACATGTGCGCACTTACATACGAGCAGTCTCACTTTTTTTTTTACCATTAATGGTTAGCTACTTATATTGTTCCATTTATTAACATTAAATAACATTACAGGTACTTCAAGCAACCATATTCATTCTTTACGTTAATTTTACTACAGCTAAACTCCGGGCCTTATTTTCTTCAGTTTTATATGTAGAACCAATCAGTCACTGGTTTCGTAAGCTTTAACATAAACAATGCCGGCAGCCGTCTCGTCTCCTCTAATATTCCACGTATTAATAAATTGTATTGTTAATTTTGCACACACGTACATTAATTCAATAAAAAGAAATTCAGAAACATTAATTAAAATATATATGAACAGTGAATAAGTGTTGCTTTCATATTCTTATGTAAAGTAATGACGATATGTTTTCACGTGTGCGCATGCGCACTTACATATGCGATCTCTCTTTTTCTTTACCATTATCGTTAGCTACTTCTATTGTTCCATTTATTAACATTAAATAACATTACTTAAAACAACCATATTAATTTTACTACAGCTACAACCAAGGTCTTATTTTCTTCAGTTTTATATGTAGAACCAGTCAGTCACTGGTTTTGTAATCAACGAAAACAATGCTGTGTCATTTCCTCATGTGTTTTAATGTTCTACGTATTATTAATGAATTGTAGTGCTCATTTTGCACATATAAACATTAATTCAATAAAAAAGACATTCAGTAATAAACAATAATGAATCTTTTGTACATAAGAGAAATGACGCTGTTTACACGATTATGCACGTCGTCTGCACGTTGGCGGGCCGTTCAAACCCGTCGAAATTCAAGTTTCCGCCGTCAAAATTTTTATTTATTTATTTTTTTGTGTGTTCCAATAACATACGTTAAGAATTAAAAACTCGCAAAATTTGAGAAGCTACTATACGACATTTAACCCTTCAATATGTCTTCAAAGAGACCATGACGCAGAGAAAGTGGTGCTAGTGCTTCCAGGCATAAGCACAAGTCACTATCTAACCAGGAAAAGGGTGAATTTCCATGGTCCGGCACCGGTCAGGTCCCGAGGTTGCCGGACTAGAGAGGTACAACCTGTATTTACTAAAATAGTAAGGGATTTAAGCCCTAGAACCGATTACTGCATTGGCGGACTAATAATACAGCTGGTGGACCGCCAAGTGCAAGCGAAAACATGTTCAGGTCGGCTCATAAGAAACTCGTTAATCGAGGGATTGCTCGTTAACCGAAGTTAAGAATCTTATGGAAGGTAACTCGTTAACCGAAATCTCGTTAACCGAGGCGCTCGTTAGCCGAGGGATCACTGTATATACAAGATTGTCATATGCTTTATATCCCTATTAAAACCTTTCTTAATATGTTATGCATGTTAAAATGATTCAGTTCTCCCACAGTCCTTATTAAACACTTTTAATACATGCTTTCAAAATTCATATACACAGCAAAATGTTTCTTTATATTTAAATCTCCCATTAGTTTTCAATTTATGAATTTTCATTTGATGAGCTCAATTCTTTTTGTTATCGATACTTTTTACTTATAATAATATTAATAATGGTCTTCCTCTCAGTCACCCTTTGGTATGAGGAATCAATAATACTGTAAACTTTTAGTCATCATCACCACCATCATCATTGTCTTGCAGCTGTTTTCAATTTGAACAAAATCACTGAAACTTCCCTTTCCCTGTATGGAGAAGGTCTTAGTGTTTAAAATATAAACTACAACAACAAATCCTATTTGTATCGCAGCCTCTTCTCTTAATACTGTAATGGTTTTTACCTTAAAATCATCAGAATTCTTCTCTAGTGGGGTTATATCACACTTAAGTCCTTCATAGTGCTGGTCTGCAGGATGAATGTTGATATCAATTGCTTGGTCGAGGAAGCTCATTGCTGCTTGGATATCACCAAGTGCTTCCAATAATGCCATTTTCTCTTGAATTTCATTTCTTGTGCGAATCAAAGGGGGAACCTTCATTCCAAAATAATGTGGAACCCTGAAAATAAATCAAGAACTTTTAGAGTCAATTTCACAGAATAAAGTGTAGAAATTTTCTATTCGCTGTAAACAGGTGTACAGCACTTTAAAATAAAAACTTGAATGAGATTATCCATTTAGTGTATCATTATAATACATTGTCTGGTAATAAATACCCAAAGTAATGTTGCCATGGATGGACAAGATGGATTTCTGGAAGAGTGATAAACATCCTTTCAAGCATTAGTCATATTGGTTTATTCTATTACAGTACATAAGACCAAATATGTTTCTGAAACATATGCAGCAACACCATGTCAAATAAATTTCGATATTTTCTGTCACCAGGTCGCTGAAATGTGCATCCTTTCTATCACTATCTCAATTCATTTCAAATGTAGCATTTCTCTTTATAATTCTTTGTCAAAATAACAATGGTTCTATTCCTTTTCAACAACATCAACAACAATAAAAAGACCTTTCAGATTGGAGTCACCTGGCACAGCATTACAGTGCAGTATGTATGTAGTCAATGTGCCAGTGATGAGTGACAAGAACCATGGTGTTCTTTCACAATGTGTCTGTAGATCATGAAAACTGTAAACAGTATTGTATATAACAGCAAGGTCATTAGTAGGCTCTTATGTGTAAAAGCAATATGAAGTCCAAAGCATAATAAATATTATTAAATACCTGTAGTAGTTCTTTTTGTTTTACCACAATAAGACTTTATAATGGCCTAACCTTAAAGGAGTCAATGGTGAAATACTTCAAAAATGCAGTAGAAGCTCTTTACACCAGATTCACCCTTTTTTGGACTCTGAGATGCTCCAAACTGCTCCTCTATTCACCAGAAATATTTTTGAAAAGTCCGGAAAATCCAGCATCAGTCTAGAAGGATTGTTTTTGTATGTGTAGATGAAAGTTTGTGCATGGTTGTTGTATGCAGCATGTACCACAGTCTGACTCCTACCTTCATATGTATCATACCTGGAACTGGCAGATGCCCACTCTACTAAGTGGTCACAGCCTCAAGTTGAAGAAGCCACAAATTCAGAAAACTGTCAAGGCAAACTTTTTTGGAAGGAGAGTTGTGAACTCTTGGCACGATCTGCCAGAAAGCATTGTGACAGCACTGTGTGAGCTCATTCAAGAACAGACCTGATTAACACTGGTGCAGGTACAGATACATTCTGGTGCCAGTATATGCCCAGTACTTGCAAACAGTGCATACAAAGGGTCCCCGAGTTATGAACAACTGACTTACAAACACCCGCCGATACAAACAATGTCCCATAAGGTCAATTATTTTAAGAATCCGAGAACTAGTTTGTGTGACATAGCGACGCGGCAGAACAGCGGGTGGGGAGTAGTGCGTCACCCAGACACACGCCTTGAGGGAACATCACTACGCCTTACTCTCACCACAGTAATGTGTGAACAAGTGCAAACTGTTATTCTTTTTGCTTATTAACTCTCTTTTTTGGCCCTCACCATGGCTCACAAATGTAAACCTGATGCAAGTGATGGTAGTGCATCCAAGAAAAGGAAAACAATTACAATGGAAGTGAAAGATGATGTAAAAAAATTTTCTGAAAAAGGCAAAAAACAGTGTTATTAGTAAAGCATTGGGCTTCTGTCGGTCAACGATCAGAAAAATTTTGAAAGGTATCACACAAAATTCTTGAACATGTAAAAGGATCTACACCAATGCACTCAACTGTGATAACAAAACAAAAAAGTGGATTGATACTTGATATGGAAATTTTTTTTGTGATTTGGGTGGAAGATCAAAATCAACGTCATTTTCATGATACCTTCCATTTGCCTATTGTAATCACTGATGAAAAGTCTTTAGAATCAGTAATAAAGGTGCAGTATAAGTAACATTCATAAATGTTTATGGGTTAAGTTTTGAAATCCAAATGGTCTATTGCAAAATAACTAGGATATCACTAATTTAACGCTACGAGCTGTGAGCATTAATAAGGGATGAAGAGAATGTGTAAAAAGCTTTGTGAGCACAAGTGTGACGTGGGTGAGAGACGGAGTACAGACTACCAGAAGCCAGCCACTAATTGCTGATCCATGCAGTCAAGGTGTGGGGTGGACAGTGGAAAAACATTGTCACGTGTACAGTAATGACTTACTCACTGCTCATAGACTAGTGACATAATTATATAAACAATGTATGTACATTTATATAAGTACACCTTTTCACATATCCGTTGAGACATTGTTACATAACTATTTGACAGAACACATATCGAATGACAATCTAAAATAACTGTTGGTGGTATGTCATTCTCCAATTGTTACTCAAACTATATGTAGACTGTCGGTTTATTGTTCACGTCTGTCAACTTCATAACTTATGTCAATCATTTCCGTTAGCATGAACGAACAGTTATTTTAGATTGTCAATCGATGCGTGTTCTGCCATTCGGTTATGAAATTTGTCAAATAGTTATGTAACAATGTCTCAACAGATATGTGAAAAGGTGTATTACTATCTGTTTGACAGGGGCTAACACATGCATCCCAGCCCCAGGTTTCAATGCAAGTGTTAAACTTTAATTTTTATTTTTTTTTACTGTATTCTGTCATTCAATTTCTTCTTTTCTCTAAAATTAAGTAATTCGAGATGCATAAAAGGACTTAGGCTATGATATGTGTTCCAATTCACATACATTTCCGTCTAATGAATGTCCTCATCAAAAGAACAACTGCACACTGAATAATGTACAGTGGTATAATCCGATTTACTTTAGGCCTAATGAAAGCTACTAAGTACGAGAGAAAAGACACTGTATGTGTAAACAGGCTGAAGGTCAGGGAAGTACTGTAGTTTGTTACTGCATTCACTAGGGTTTTTTTCTCATTCATTATTATATTCTCATATGATCAGACTTATGAAGTATGGCTCAGCATAATTTACATACAGTATTTTACGGCATATAAGAACCACCACCCCTTTACCAGGGAGTATTTAGGAAACTTTTGTGTGGATTTTCCTACTGTAGCCATAGTTTTCTTAAAATAATATATGCAGAACACGTATATATGAACAGTAAATAAAGATATTACCAATAAATAACTTTCAACAAAAAATAATGTACTGTACAGTGAACCCTCGGACCCGGGCCGTAAGGTGAACAACATAACATATGGGATTAATTGAAATAGAGACTGGGCCGACCCCCAAACTCCACTTTTTCCCGACGCAATACCTATGTTCTAGTAAAACTAACATCTTAATTTTATGATGGTACGCACACACAATTAATATTTAAGAGAAATAGAGAAATACAGTCGCCAAGTTAATGTCCATTCAAATAATGGACTCAACCCCCCCCCACCCCTCTTCTCACACTAGCTGGCTCCTCCCTCTCTGAGAAATATTTGGGGGAAAACACTAGATTTTAAGGTATAGTAATAAATAATACCTCAAACTAAAGTCAGGATAATATAATTGACATTGCTGGATTCCTTGCAAAACCAGGAATATTTTGATTATAAATGTCATATATTTTGCACAAAAAATAACATATTTCTCAGAGTAAACTAAACACTTACATTAGATCTAATATTTGTATGTCTAATGCAAAATCTATGATGTTTATATTCAAAATAATCATCAAATTGTAAGAATTCCAGCAATGTAAATTATATTATGGCCGGGTAATTTGTATGAATTTTATGAGCTAAAACAAATATCTTCAGTAAATAAAAAAAAAATATATTCTTCACGACACTATCTGTCTATCAAAATACCCCACCTTGCCTCCCCCCCCCTCTTCCCACCACGCCAGCTGGGTTGGTTGGTCGGTCGGTCCCTCCCTCCCTCCCCCCACCTTCCCTCCCTACCAGAGAAATGTTTGGGAGAAAACAGAATATTTACATTTTTAGTAATAAATAATACCTCAGATTAAAGTTAGGATAATATAGTTCACATTGCTGGATTCCTTGCAAGACCAAGAATATTTTGAACATACACGTCATATATTTTGCACAAAAGATAACATATTTGCTCTGAGTAAACAAAATACTTACATTAGATCTAAAATTTATATGTCTAATGCAAAATCTATGATGCTTATATTCAAAATGATCATCAAATTGTAAGAATTCCAGCAATGTAAATTATATTCTGGCCGGGTAATTTGTATGAATTTTATGAGCTAAAACAAATATCTTCAATAAATAAACAAAATATACTTACCCAAATACTATCTGTCAATCAAAATACCCCACCTCCCCCCCTCTTCCCACCTGCTCCCCGGGTCCCTCCCTCCCTCCCTACCAGAGAAATGTTTGGGTTATAACAGTATATTTACATTTTTAGTAATAAATAATACCTCAGACTAAAGTTAGGATAATATAATTGACATTGCTGGATTCCTTGCAAGACCAGGAATATTTTGAATATACACGTCATATATTTTGCACAAAAGATAACATATTTGCTCAGAGCAAACAAAATACTTGCATTAGATCTAAAATTTGTATGTCTAATGCAAAATCTATGAAGCTTATATTCAAAATGATCATCAAATTGTAAGAATTCCAGCAATGAAAATTATATTCTGCCCGGGTAATTTGTATGAATTTTATGGGCTATGTAAAAAAATTATACTTCACCGGTGTATATGAGTAGATGCACCGCGTAAAGTGGGAATTCCCTTTCTGGCAGGGAACCACGTAAATGTAGAAACGCGTAAAAAAAACCCACGTAAAGCGGGGTATTACTGTACAGTGACCCCTCGGTTAACGAACTCAATCCGTTCCAGAAGGTCGTTCGTTAACCGAAAAGTTCGTTAACCGAAACCATTGTTTCAATGGGTTTTTGGGTAATTGGTTCCAGCTCACCGAAAATTTCCTAAATTCAACAAAAATGGTAGAAAAGTTCACTTACTTTGAGGTGTGTATGTAGAAGGCTCCTGGATGATGATGATGATGATGGGAATAAGAATGGGGGTGGAGGAGAAGGAAGAAGAGAAGGCATTGGGGTGGAAGAGA